GCCCAAACAGCGGCTGGCAGCAGATGCCAGCCGGCCGCTGGCAGCTGGCGAGCGGAGCAGCCCAACAAGCGACAGGGACGAGGCCAGCGTGGCACTTGGGGAAACCCCTCAAACCGCCAGGTCAGCCTCCCACCTGGATGCCCCTCTCGTGCACCTCGTCTACAATCACATGAGTCACCCCTGCCAGGTCGTGCGCCACCCCCAGCCACCGCAGCAGCAGCCCGGGCGTCACGAAGCGCAGGCAGGTGTCTGGGCCAACGACCTTGCGGGCGCCGCCCACTGAGAAACCCACGACGCCGCCCACTGCCTCCCCCCTGGTGGATGGGTTTAGGGTGCGTTCAGGGTTTAGGTTTTGAGTTTTTTGGCGCCGGGCGAGTGTGTGTGAGTTTTGGATGCATTTGTGTGCGTGCGTGCTAATTGTGTGTGTGTGTGTGTGTGTGTGTGTGTGTGTGTGTGTGTGTGTGTGTGTGTGTGTGTGTGTGTGTGTGTGTTGCATGCGTGCGTGCGTAATTGTGCAGGACACGAGCGATCGCGTGAGCAATTCTGCTGTTGCGTGGATGTGTGGGTTGGCCTGCTGAGTTGCGTGCGGCGTGTGAGGGTGCGTGTTTCTGGGGGCATGTGCATGAAAGTGAGTGTGCATGGCGCTCATACGTGCAAGGCTCATGGGGTCACAAATTGGGTGGACAATACGTGAGTGGTGATGTTCTTTTGCCTTGCCAATTGGGCAGGACGGTGCCACGCCCTCAAGCAAAGCTGATCAAGCCTCTACAGTGCAAGTGCTCGCACCCTCATCTGCCCCACACGGACCCCGCCATCCTGATCCCATCCGCCATGCAGTCAACTCCAAACCGAGGCCCACCGCTCCTGGGCCACCCGCCGCGCGAGCGCCGTGGCGGTAAGCACGCGCGGCTGAGTGATGACGATGTGCACCGCACCCCCGCGGCCGGCGGCGGCGGCCTCGTCCAGTATGAACTGGGGCACCTGGGTCGACTTGCCGCAGCCGGTCTCACCGGTGACGAGCGTCACCTGGTGACGGGCGGCGGGCAATTGGTTGAAGGCGACAGTGGGTAACAGTGAGGGCCAGCACGTCTTACGTAGGGGTGTTCCCAGGAGGACCTTTTGCAAGCTGTAGGGCAAGTATGTGCAACGACACCAGCATATCGTTGTCGTGCACGCGATCTCCAGCTGCCAGCGGCGCAGCCAGCTGGTGGCCGCCTGCTGCGCTCGGCTTTGATGTTTGCACCAGAATGCTCCCCTCCGTCGACCCGGCACGCCGCGCGCCTCACCCTGCTCTTGCCGACCGCAGACAGCACCGCCTGCCGCTGGCGCCACGCTGGCAGCACCCGCCGCGCGGTGAAGCGCGCGCGGGCGTCCTTGTCCCTCTTCGCCGCTTGCAGGCGCTCGCGCAGCATGACGTTCAGCTCGCGCTGCCGCTTTTTGCTGCGGCCGCCTGCGGTCGATTGCGCGTTGCGAGCGCGCGGGCCGCCTGAGGCGCAAAACAACAGCTCTAGGGATGGCCGACTGCCCAGAGAGAGGGCGCAGCAGCGCTGCGGCAGGCGGCCGGCCAGCCGGGTTGTCGTCCGAGGACTGAAAAGCGATGCAGCGGGCATGCCGCAGGGCTGGAGGGTCCTCTGACCGCCTATGACCACGCAACCCCTCACCTCGGCCCCGCCGCGACCCCTGGTCTCCCCCTTCCCAGTCATCGTCCGCGCTCGCCCCCTCATCGTCACTGTCATCATTGCCGCCGCCGCCGAGCTGCTCACGCGGCGGCGGCAGCAGCGCCTCCAGGCGGCGCCGCTGGTCCTCGAGATCCGGGCGGCAGCTGGCGAGCAGCTGCCGGGCAGCTGGCTGGAGGGAGAAGGCCACCTTGGGAGTGGTCAAATCCAGGTTCATCCTTTTCGGCCGGGAGAAGGGTGCGAGTTCAAGGAGTGGTAAGATTCTGGAGGGTTAGATATTGGCAGGCAGGCCAACAGACAAGATGTGGAGATGCAGGATCCTACTGTGTGCACCGCCTTAAGAAGTGTCGTGGCTCTGAACCAAACATGTGCGCCGGGTGCTGGCATTGGCGCGGGGCCCCAAAGCCCGAACTGCTCGCGGGTGTGCGCCCGCACCCCGAGCATGCAATCGCAGCGCATTACGCATGTGCGCCCGGGCGCCGGCTCCACTGCAGCAGACCAGTTGCATCGACGGCCCCCCTAAAAATACTTGCCCACTGCCGGCCCCGCTCGCTCGGACCCGGGCCGGCGGCAGGCACCTCCCCTCACCTGTAATCTGGCAGCCGCTGCTTGGACACCACCACCGCGGCGCCCCGCGCCCTCGGCACCCCCTGGCCCGGGCCGTACATCTTGGCAAAAAGCCCCAGCGGCTCCACCACCTGTGACAGGGCCGCACGGCCCTCGCCGCCCGGGTAGAACTCCTTGCTGCGGCCCGGCATGAAGCCGTGGTGGATGATGTCAGCGTCCTCAGGGCAGCGCAGCAGCCAGGTCTGGGGGTTTGGGGCAGGGGGGGGCGAGTGGGCATCAGACGGTCTGCACTATGATCTCATAATTTGCAGGATTATAGGTGTCAGCCCTGAGCCCTGGCGGCCGCACGGTCAGTCCTACCCGCTTCGTTGATGCATGGCAAAGAGTGGCAGGAGCCGCGGATGCAGCGTTTGGTGGTTCGGGCTTGACGGTTGAGGCGGACCGTCACTACACATCCCCTTCGCGTGGTCATGAGGGCCCAGGCAAACACATCATCCACGCAGGCCGCGACACGCAGCATGGCAGCGACACTGTATCTGGCCCAAACACACGCACGCACGCATGCACGCGCGCGCGCACACACGCACACACACACACACACACACACACACACACACATACACACCGCCCCGATCTTTGAGGGCGATCCTCGCGGCGCCCACCTGCAGGGACTGCCGCAGGAGAGAGGCGTGGCTGGGGACGCCTGGCAGGGGCCGCCTGACCCTTTTGCTGGCGGCGGAGAGACTCCAGCCCCACAGCTCCAGCGCGCGCCGCACCCCCGTGAGGACGTCCTCGGGCGCACGCAAGAACAGGGGCGCCAGCGGCGGCAGCAGCGTGCAGCGCAGCGCCCGCGCGGCGCCGGCGCCGGCGCCGGCGCCGCCGCCGGCGGCGGGAGCGGGGTTTTGGCCGGACGCGGCGGTTGCAGGCGGGTGATAGAAGGCCTAGGGGAGGCGCGAGCGGGTGTGGCTCGTGAGATTTGAGTTGCTGGAAGCATTGGCCTCGAGGCTGGTGCGTCCTGCACCCAGTCAACATGCAAGTGTCGACGTTTGTGTGCCCCATTGACCCAGCGCATGCCAAGAGCATGGGCAGCAGGCAAGCTGGCGCATCCGCACACGTGAATCCCGGCCGTCAACGCGCCAACAGTGCCCTTCAAATCAGCCAGGGGTTGGGCGGGCGAGCACGCAGCTCAGAGCGGCTGCCCACCAGGCACGTCGGGGTGGGTGCCCCCTTGACCAGCGACAGCGTCCCCAGGCCGTCAAGCCATTGGCCCTGCGACGTGACTTTGAGGCCGCTGAATTTGAAGCCCGTTGACTCCAGGGTCTGAGGAGACGGCAAGGCCAGCGGGGGAGGGGGGTAGGGGGAAGGG